TGGTATTTGATACACCAGTGGCTTAGCTTTAAGTATCACAGCACCCCACAAAGTATCTCAGTACAGCAAATAGATAGACAAATGTTGTTCTGATTAGAATAATATTTTTCCAAACACAGTATATTGACAACTTAGTTTGTAACTCTAATAGCAAATCAGTCTTTACAACAGGCCCAAACAGCCCATACCTGACTGTTAATTAAATCATTAAAAGACATACCAGCTCACAATTGACTGTCATTTGAATAAAAAAGACCTATCTTCTGGATTCCAACTGCTTCAAATTAACGAACATGGGAGAATAAAAGATATGAATAATACAAAAAGTCATTGCAAAGAGAGAGAAAGAAAAAACCAAGATGAATGTCAGAAGAACTCTGAATATTGCCTGAGAACATTGAGAAACCAAGGCAAAGGAATGAATCAGGAAGTTAAGGAGCTAAACAGAAGATTTCAAAGAACAGCTCAAGAAGACAAAACAAATATTACAATAAAATATGGAAAGAGCTGGACTCAGGAAGGAACTCACTTTGCATTCTTTAAGCATATCTTAAAGAACTAAAGAATAATTCCAAGCCTTGAATGTCAATACTTAAAAAATGCTATTGGCAGAATGCTGAATGATCCAGGAACCATTTCAAGAAGATTGAAGAAGTACACAGAGTCCTTGCATAAAAAAAAAAAAAAAATTAAAAATTAAAAAAAATGGCTGACATAGAATTTAATGTATCAAGTCATGGTCAAGAGGCAATGGTGATGAAGGAGGAAGTTCAAGCTGCTCTGAACGAATTGGCAAAAACCAAGTCTCCAGGAATGGACGAAATGCCAGTTAATATATTTGAACACATAGCTGCAGCCCTAGATGTGCTCACCAGGTTGAGCTGGGAAATCTGGAGACACACAACCTGGCCACTGACTACAAAAGATCCATATTTATCCCCATTCTAAAAATAGGGGATAAAACAGACTGTAGAAATGAGTATTGAACAATAATATCACTAATATCACACACAAGCAAAATCTTGTTGATTATCCAAAAACAATTGGAACAATACATTGAAAGATAACTACCAGAAATACAAGATGGTTTTAGAACGGGCCATGGCATTAGAAACATTACTGTAATTTCAAATGGATCTTGGCTGAAAGCAGAAAGTACCAGAGGAATGTCTATCTGTGTTTCATCGACTATGCAAAGGCATTTGACTGTGCGGATGCGGATCACAACAAATTGTGGCTAAACTTGAGAAGAATGGGAATCCCAGAACACTTGATTGTGCTGATAAGAAACCTACCAAGAAGCAATCATCAAACAGAGTAAGAAGTGGATGGCAAATTCTCCTTCCTAGTCTGTCTTGATCTGGGAGTTCTACTCAAACCTATCCACTATGGGTAACCTTGGTGTATGGTATGACAGAAGAAGAATTTATACCTTTGAGCTATTGGAGAAGAGTACTGAACATTGTAGGAATAGTCAAATGGACAGATATATCTTGGAGAGGGTGCATCCACAATGCTGTTTGGATGCAGAGATGACACAGCTTCACCTCACATACTTTGGGCATGTTGTTGCTATTGTTAGGTGCCGAGTCAAGTCTAGTCAAGTATGACTCATAGCGACCCAATGAACAACGATATGAACCCTGTCCTATCCTGTGCCATCCTCCAACTTCCTGACATACTAAAGCCATTTTGACAGTCACTGTGTCAATCCACGTGGTTGAGGGTACTCCTGCCTTTTGCTGCCCCTACACCTTTCCAAGAATGATGTCCCTTTCCAAGGAACAACCTTTCTTAGCAACATATTTGAACAAGCATGTGAGATGAGGATGTGAGATGAAGTAAGATCTAATCTGAATGGTGGACTTCCAAGGTTCCCCACTGGAGAAGTGGAGTCTGTGGAAAAGCAGTCAGAAAATCAAAAGATGAATTGCACTGGGAAAATCTGCTATGAGGGTCCTCTCCAGAGTGCTGAAAAACAATGAATGTCAGTCTAGAGACTAAGGTGCACCTAATCCAGGCCATGGTCTTTGCAATTACTTGCTATGTGTCAGGATGATACAAGAAGAATAGATGCTTTCAAACTGTGGTGCTGGGGAAGAGTCTTGAACAGACCACGGACTGCCAAGAAAACAAATAGTTCTGTCTTGGAAAGATTGAAACCAAGTTTCGCATTGGATGCTAGGATTTTGAAACTTCACCTCACATACTTTGGGCACATGATAAGGAGAGACAACCCCTTAAAGAAGGACATCATGCTTGAAGGGTTGGAGGGACAACACAGGAGAGGAAGATCTCAGATGAGATGGATTGATACAGTAAGTGGTAGGTGTGTCAAAACTAGTGAGACTGGCTCAGGACAGGGCAGAGTTCAGGGCTGCTGTATATCAGGTTGCTATGAGTCACAGGTGATTTGACAGCACATAACAACAACAACAACAGAAAATGTACCCCTGCCCACAGTAAAGTTTGACATTCTAATGGTCAGATGTTAGGTGTCAGGCTTCAGAGATTATCAGTGCAAAGATGTGACATTGTTCAACTCTTGAATGGTGGATGTTTTTCTTGGCTGTTGATAACATATAATAATTTTCTGGTATGTGTGAGTAGAAGAGTAGTCACTGGCTCTAGTCACATTTCTTGTAATCATAGTCATTCAGTCAGAGGTGTCCATCCTGTGATCTACCTTGAACACTGCACTCTACTGACTCAAATTAAGGCACATAAATGTTGGAATGTTTCTCTATCTATGGTTTTAAGTAGGGGAGTGCTTCACGTGATTCTAAGCCAAGTATTATTATGTGATTTTGTTAATTCTGGGTAACTAATGATGTCAGTTTGAAGACTAAAATGTGCCTGATTCAGGCCATGGTCTTCTCAATCACCTGCTATGCATCAGAGAGCAAAACAATGAATAAGGACAACAGAAGGAGAATTGATGCCTTTGAGTTGTGGTGCTGGAGTACTGAATATCCCATGGACTGCCAAAAGAACAAACAGATATGTCCTGGAAAGGGTGCAGCCAGAGTGTTCCTTGGAGTCAAGGATGATGAAGCTTCATCTTTCATACTTTGGACATGTTAGCTAGGTGAGGCTATTCCTTGGAAAAGGACATCATGCTTGGAAAGATGGTGGGTCAGTGAAAGATAGAAAAACCTCCAACGAGATGGTGACTTCAGTAAAGGGCTCTAGTGTCTCAGAGATGGTGAGGATGGCACAGGATTTAGTAGATTTCAGAATGGTTACTCATAGGGCCACTATGAGTCGTACTCTACTCAAAGGCACCTAACAACAACAATTAAAATTTATCCATAATGAAAGAGAAATATAAAGTGATAAACTCAACAGCCTACTGTGGGACCCCTTATTATTTAATAAAGGAAAAAAATTGCAAAATCTTGATGATGTGAACCTCAGCTTTAAAATGCTATGGGAAGGAAATTGGAAGAATGTTCTCGGAAGGGAGGATGGTGGGTACTCTGGACACTTTACCAGGAAGTACCAAAGCCCAGTTGAAGGGTACCATTCTTGTTAAAGCTGAGGATCAACAAAAAAGAAGGCAGCTCTCAGTGAGATTAAGTGGCACAGCGACTGCAGTAATGAGGTCAAAGAGATGGAAGGATGGTGAAGAGAAGACACTTTCATTCTGTGGTATATAAAGTTATTATGAGTCAGGATGGATTCAACAGAACTTATCACAACAAAGGAAGAGTATTAGTCCAGGATAAATTTCCAGTTTCATGAAGTTTTGCTATTTAGGTTTTCATTACTCCATTAGTTCTCTCTAGTAGACCAGAAAGCTAGAATGACTGGGATAGCATAGCCTTTGATAAACGGGAGAAATTTGACACAATTATGATATGACTTGATTGGTGAAATGAGCTCCCAATACCTACAAAGAGTGTTTGATGATCCATAGGTGGGTATAATTTCTTATTTTTTTTTAAATGTCTTTACTATGAAGGCTGCAGAAGTCTGGAAACAGGGGAAGACTTCTATCCCACATGAAAATCTACTATTCATCACTAACACATAATGCGCAACCAAGTGAGGATGGATGCATATTAAAATCTAGCTGCCATTCGGAACAAAGCAGAAAAGCAAAGACATTGTTGAGCTAGGACTTTGAGAAAGTTTCTGGTAATGCAGGGAGGGCAAGTAGAGTAATGGGTGGCAGTATGTTGTTGTTGTTTTTCCATACAAAGAAATTTCTCCATACAAAGGAAAACAAATTGGAAGTTACAGAGGAGATACTCTAAGTGCCCAAGACCACACTGTGAGTTGATGGCCTCTGAAATGCTAATTAATTAGCTTTAATTAAGTCCTAATTAATACTACTGAACTGTTCCTTGCTAGCTCTTTGGGGCATGTTTTAGGATTGTGCATATAATCTTATATTTTTTTACTTTATATGAATGGTGTTTCTTAAGTATGATCAGTATTTCAAAGGTGAATAATAAAGTGTGTGGCATCCTATCATCCAGAAAATTGGTGCTGTGTTGTATTGTACTCCTTGAATTATTGGATTAATGCACTCTTGGATTGAAGATGTGCATGTGTGTGTGCAAGTGAGTTCATGTGTGGGTGTGGCGACATCAGAGAGGAGGAGACAGTGGAACTTCTCCGGCTCAATGCCTTTCCAAAATGGCAGAGGGCATGTTGGCCATGATGACTCTTCGTCAAAAGTCTATGGCTCTAGAAAGATCTCTAGGCAATTTTCAGTAGTCCGGACTTGCCTAGTTTGGGAAGTCCCCCGCTCCATGTTTTAATCACTGCATTTGGCTCTTGAATAGATTATACTTTGATCTTTCTGTTTCTCACGGGGACCATGCCAACTCACTCAGATACAAACATATCCACAAAGAGAGCATACCCATCCATCAAGTCCATAAATCTTGTACCTGAAGTAAGGAACCATTTGTAAATAGTGACTAACATGAATTTTGGAACAGAACTTATTCTAGTGATATTAAGGAAGAAAACAAATGTAAAATACTTACCTTTCTCTGTTCCAAGGACCTGTGTTAAAGAAAATAAAAAAAAATACTGAGTTTCTTCTAGTAATAGAAAATGTAACACAATAATTTCAGTCACTGTTTCAAAGCAATTGCTTAGTAACATTTGGGGAAAATTTTGCTGGTATTTGAGTTTTTTGTTATTATTTTTAAATGTATGAGTAATCTCTAAAAAAATAAAAAATTATACTATATATACATTTAGGCACATGGCAGGAAATAAAGTCAATTCATGGTCCTATACATTACTTTGATCCCTCTAGATTACAACTGAGAACTGCTATCAACAACCTGCATTATGCAGATAACAGAACTTGCTTGCTGAAAGTGAAGAGGACATGAAATTCTTGCTACAGAAGATCAAGGACTACAACTTTTTGTATGGATTACATCTCAACACCAAGAGAACAAAGTTTCTCACAATGGGACTAACAGCCAAGATTATAATAGCTGGAGAAAGAATTGAAACTGTCAATGATTTAATATTCTTTGGCTCAATAATCAACATTCTTAGTATCAGCAGTTAAGAAATCAGGAGCTATATTGCACTGGGCAAGTCCGCTGTCAGGGATCTCTCCAAAACACCAAAGAAGAATGCTGTCAGTTGAAGACTAAAATGTGCCTGATTTGGGCCATGGTCTTTCCAATCACTTGCTATTCATCAGAGAGCTGGACTCTTAAATAGTAGATGTTGTTATATGATGTCAAGTCACTTGTGATTCATAGTGACCTAAAGCCTGCTCTATCAACAACCCTGAACCCTGCTCTATCTTGAATCAACCTCCTTGTCTCTGACACACCTGCCCCCTTTATCCCAGTCACTGAGTTAATCTATCTGTTCCACTTTTGCTGTCGCTCCACCCTTCTGTGCATGATGTCCCTCTCCAAGGACTGATCCCTCCTTGTAATATGCCCAAAGTATGTCAGACAAATCTTCAAAATCCTTGCCTCCAAGGAACAGCCTGGTTTCACCCTCTGCAGAACTAACCTGCTTGTTCTCTAGCTGTCCATAGTAAAAGGAAATAATTTTTTACACATACTGTCATGGGTGCTGAAATGATGAGTAAAAGGGTCTAAGAAGTTTGTACCATCATTATCCCAATTTTAACAGGAAGTACTAATTCTTTCCACATACCTAGTAGACAAAATCATGACAGATGGAGAAAAGACAGAAGCTGTAAACAATTTTACTGGCTCCATAATAAATACCTATGCTATTACTTCACATATATTTGAAACTTATGTAATGAATAAGAAAGATAGGAGGGGGAAAAAAGATGCTTTTGAATTGTGGTATTGGCTAAAAGTATCAGATATACTATGGCCTGTCAAGAGAACAAACAAATCTGTCTTGGAAAAAATGCAGTGTATATTTTCCTTGGAGGTCCGAACAGTGAAACATACTTTATGAATGTTATCAGGAAAGACTTGTCTTTCAAACAAGATCCGTTTGGTAAAGTGGAGGGTCAGAGAAAGAGAGGTAGACCCAAATTATTTAGGAACATTGAAGTTGGTTTGTGGACTAAGGTGTACCTCATTCAGGCCATGGTCTTTTCACTTGCTTCTGCAAGCTAGACAATGAAGAAGGATGACCGAAGAACTGCTCCCTTTGAACTGTGCTGCTGGAGAAGAGTACTATATAGCCCATGGACCACCAAAAGAACAAACAGGTAGGTCTTGGAATAGGTGCAGCCAGCATGTTTCTTTGGAAACCAAGATTATAAAACTTTGTCTCACATGTTGGGCAGGTTGCTAGGAGGGGCTATTTCTTGGTGAGAAATATCACACTTAGAAAGATGGTGAAACAGACAAGACCCTCAACCAGGTTGATTGTAGTGACTGCTGCAATGAACGCAAGTATATCAGAGAATATGAGAATGACACCACATAGACAAGACAGAGTTCAGATCTGTTGTTCATAAGATTACTATCAGTCATACTCAAGCTATTGTTGCTATGTGCCGTTGAGTCGACTCTGACTCATAGTGACCGTATGTACAACAGCTTTGAATTCTGCTCTATCTTGAGCAGATTACATTGTCTCTGATCTACTTAAAACCATTAACCCAGTCACTGAGTTAATCCATCTCACCCAGGGTCTTCCTCTCTTGAGCTGTCCCTCCACTCTTCCAAGCATGATGCCCCTCTCCAAGGACTGGTCCCTCCTTGCAACATGTACAATGTATGTCAGATAGAGCTTCAAAAATCCTTGCTGGTATCTAATAACAACAACAGGTGGTGAATATATAGTAATGTTACATAATACAATAAATAGGAAGGAAGATTAGCCATCCACTTCCGAAATATAACAGGCCTTTGAAAACCCTATGTACAATAAAGCAGGTATAGACTAGAAAAAGAAAAGATGTGACAACTGAGGATGAGCCCTGAAACTTGGAAACACAAAGAAGGAACAGTTGTAAGAAGAAACTAACGATTGGAATGTAGAATGCGAGAAGCATGAATTTAGGAAAAGCGGACATCATTAAGAAATAAATGGAACATGTAAATATTGACATATTAATTATTGGCAAAATGGGATAGATTGGAATGGGATATTTTGAATCATGATCTATTTTGCTGAAGATGAAAAGGTGAGAAAAAAAGGGGTCACTTTCATAATTAAAAAGGTGTTTCTAGATCCATCTTGAAATACAATGTTGTGAGCGGCAGGATAATATACATACACAGACAAGGAAGACCTGTTAGTACCACAATCATTCAAATTTATGCACCAGCCAAAGAGAAGGAAGTAGATGATTTCGACCAACTCTTGCAGTCAGAAATTGATCAAGCATAGTTGGGAACCAGGTGGAAGGGTCAGTAGTTGGAAACCATAGACTAGGTGACAGAAATGGGGCTGAAGATAGAATGAAAGAATTATACACAATTATTTATTCATAGCAAAAACATTTTCTAAAAACACATAAAAACCAGCTATCTGGATTTCACCTGATGGGATGAGCAGGAATCAGCTTGATAACTTCTCTGGAAGGAATGACTGGAGAAGTTCCATATCAGTAGTGAAAACTAGGCCAGGTGCTGATTGCAGAACAGACCACTAATTACTCATATGTGAGTTCAAATTAAAGCTAAAGAAGGTCAAATCAAATCCACAGAAATAAAAATGTGACCTCGAGTCTATCCCACCTGAATTTAAATACCAATTCAGAAATAGATTTGAGGCCTTGAACACTAATGAACGAAGACCAGATGAGGTATGGAAGGAAATCAAGAATATCATCCACGAAGAATGCAAAAGGTCATTACAAAGATAGAAGCAGAGTGAAATGAATTTCAGAAGAGACTGAATATTTGACTAGAGCACTGAGAGGCCAAACCTTCAAAAAAGAAGAAATCAAGAATTTAAGGAACTGAGTAGGAGATTTTAAAGGACAGCATGGGAAGACAAAGCAAAGTATTATAATGAAATTTGCAAAGAACTGGAGTCCAAAAATGAAAAGGGCCTAACTCCCTCAGCATTTTTAAGCTGCTGAAGGAACTAAAGAGAAAATTCAAACTTCAAGTTGCAGTAGTTAAGGATGCTATGGGCAAAATATTGAATGATTCAGGAAGTGTTAAAGGAAGATGGAAGGAGGACACAGAGTTACTGTACCAAAAGGAATTGGCTCACACAGAAGAATTAAAAAACAAACAAACCACAAAACACCAAAAACCACATGTGATGAAGCGGCAATGAAGGAGGAAGTTCAGGCTGCTCTCAAGGACTTGGCAAAAAATAAAGTCCCAGGAATTGATAGAATTCCAATTGACATATTTCAATGAACAGATGCTGCTCTGGATGTGCCCACCAGGCTGTGCCAAGAAATTTTGAGGACAACTACCTAATCAACTGACCAGAAGAGATCCATATTTATTCCTATTCCAAAAAAAAGGCGGCCCAAAAGTGTGGAAATTTTTGTACAGTATCACTCATATCACACATAAGCAAAATCATGTTGAAGATTATCCAAAAACAAGTGGAACAGCACATTGACAGTGACCAGAAATACAAGCTGGGTTTAGAAGAGAATGTGGCACTAGAAATATTCTTGCCAATGTCAGATGGTTCTTGACAGAAAGCAAAGAGTACCAGAGGGGTATCTATTTGTGTTCCATTGACTATGAAAGGATATTTGACTGTGTGAATCAAAACAAATTGTGGTTAACCTTGAGGAGACTAGGAATCCCAGGACACTTGATTGTGCTAATGAGAAACCTATATTTGAACCAGGAAGTGGTCCTCAGAACAGAGCAAGGAAATACTGCATGGTTCAATATCACAAAGGGAGTGCATCAGGGATGCATCCTATCTCCATAACTTTTCAATCTATATGCAGAACAGATCATTCGGGAAGCTGGGTTTTGTGAGGAGGAATGTGGCATCAGGATTAGAGGAAGAATCATCAACAACCCCTGTTGTGCATATGACATGACCTTGCTTGCTGGAACTGAGGAGGAACTGAAGCACTTATTGCAGAAGGTCAAGGACTATAGTCATCAATGTGGATCGAAGCTCAACATCAAGAAGGCAAAGATTCTCACCACTGGACCAATTGGCAGCACCATGATAGATGGAGAAGAGATTGAGGTTGTTAACAATTACAGCTTGCTAGCCTCCACAATCAACACTCTTGGCACCAGCAGTCAGGAAATCGAAAGACTAATTGTACTAGGTAAGTCAGGGACTTTTCCAGACTACTGAGAAGCAACGATGTCAGTCTAGAGACTAAGATGTGCTTGATCCAGTCCATGATTTTCACAATTACTTGCTATGCATCAGAGAACTGGCCAATGACTAAGGATGGCAGAAGAAGAACTGATGTCTTTGAGTTGTGGTGCTGAAGAAGGGGACCACAAAGAAAACACAAAGGTCTCTCTTGGAGAGGGTGAAACCAAATTTCTTCTTGGAGGCACTGATTTTTTAAAATTTTATTTTATACTGGTTTATTTATTTATAAAGTTCCTATACATTGTTTTTCACACCAGATCTTTCCACTTCAT